AGACTCAGGTAGTTGTCCAGGTTTTTAGTACTAGGCATGATTTTACTCCTGTTTAGCAGGCCTAAAGTCCAATTAGACAACTTTCAGTTACTGCCAAGGTATGCATGCTGCTATTACACGTTTAGAGACAACTTTCCATGTAGGTCATTATGGTTTACTGGCAAAAGTGCTGGGTAAGACTGCCATTTTTTTTTTCTTTTTTGGTAGCTTGCATATTACCTTCTGGTCCTATGAAAGTTAGGGAGACTTTCAGATTAGGTCCTATTTCAATTTTTTGAGTCCTATGTTTTTGCAGTAGTGACTTATCTCCAACTTCTGGGAGACAACCAAGGGCAACAACAATAGCCTTTATTGTTTTGGGAGTCTTTTGGTCTCCCCTTGTTTGTTCTCTTACTCTTGCTCTCTCTTCTATTTCACAAAATTACCAGGCTGTTCTAGTTTTCTTTTTTCCACATACATCTTATAAAATGAGTCAGTTGGTTATTTGCTACCAAATAATGAAAATGCCACAGTAATCTTAATTTGGATTGCACTGAATCTAGAGGACAATGTTGTGTATTTGTACATTTATTTAAGATTGCTTCACACTGCCCCTAGAGGCATTTACAGGTATGACTGCTATGTCCCATGTGTGTCGGTAGGTGGCAGAGAAGAGAGAGGCTGTGTCTACACTCAGTGTTCCGACCTGTGAACATCTGAATGGTTAATAGCCTAACACTCCCTGAAAAAAAGGAAGCCTGAGTCAACTACCAGTCTGGTGTTGTGCAGGCCCGGACAGGTTCCCAGGGCGGGGAGTGATTTAGAGACTAGAAGGACCCCACCTGTAACCACAGGCCCAAAGTGAGCCTGAGACAGATGACCCTTTCATGGGGCTACTTAGGTGGGCCCAGTTAAGGAGCAAGTTCGAGACAATGACCAGACCAATGCCATGGGGCCTGGACAGGGAGCTAGCCTGAGATGACCATCAGTCTGGCTCTGCGCAGGCTAGGGGGCTGGACAGGGCAGACTGTGCCTGAGATGACCTCTGCCCAGTGCCATAATGCACAAGTGGGACATGTCTCTCCTGAGACAACCCCAGATACTCAAGAGACCCCAGGAATCATTAAAACAAACAAATAAGTGGTGAAAATGGAAGAGGAAGAGAAAGAGAAAGAGAAGGATGTGGGCACTACTGGAGATTCAAGGATAGTGAGGAACACCCTGATGTGAGTACCCAGAGATGTTACCTGGGACCATGGTGGGGTCTTGGCCTGTGCTGCCACTGAGGGTCACATCTGGGACTGTGGCCCTGCAGCAGCAGGAGTCTGTTACCACCAGAGGTCAGGAGGATAGTCCTAGTCTGGTTTGTTTCCCTGGGACATGTTAATGTTTGAGGGCTGTGCAAAACTGGCTCCACCTCTCACTTGGACATTGTGGGAGAGCTGGCCCTAGGGGCATGAGATCAAGAGAGCAGTTGATCTCTTAGCCAGCTGCATCTGCACATTGTGGGAGTTGCAGGTAAGCCTGCCCTGAGGGTATGAGCATGGGAAAGCTGGCTCTGCCTCTGTCTCCTGTGTCATGGCATGGATTAGGGAGAGACACCCTCCACCCCCTTACTCTTTGCCACCTGTGGCAGGTGGGAGACCTGGTCCTGAGGCCATGAGAGCAGGAGAGCTGTCCTTGTCCCTCACCAGCTGTAGAGCTCAGAAGAGCGGGACCTGCACCTCACCTGGGCAGCCCGGTACACCTGATTCTTAGGATGTGAGTATGGGAGAGCTGGCCCCAACACTTGTGTGCCATGCCTTGACATGGTGAGAAAGAGATGCCTACTCTTCTTCCCTTGCTATCTATGGCATGCAGGAGATCTGTCCCTGAGGTCATAGAGTGGGAGAGCTGTCCCTGCCTCTTAACAGCTGTAGCACTCTGGAGAGCGGGCCTTGCACCTTGCCTGGGTAGCAGTATAGAGTAGGCCCTTGTTGTTGGGGTTGCAGGTGAGTTGGCCCAGAGAGTAGAAGAGTGGTAGATCCAGAGGGCTGATCAGCCCAGCTCCAGGACTTTGACTTGGTCCACCCCACGTCTACCCCATCTATGAACAGCTGGCGTGTATGAAGGGGTGGGTTCTACAGATCCAAAACTACCAGATCTCCATGCCACAGGGCAACAGCAGAATATCTGAGAGGAGTCCCAGTGAGTTTCCAATATTGAGTTTCCAGGGGCCTCATAAGTCACTGCAATGAACATTTGCAAGCAAAGACGTGTGGACCAAAGGGTATACTGTGGAACACACTGTGACACACTACAGCTTCCACTATGAGAAGTTTCTGGTTTTTTTTTTTTTTTTCTTTGTTGCAAGGGTGGAGGACAGGTACAAGGGGAGGAGGAGATGACTGGGATTGAGGTACATGATGTTAAAGTCACAAAGAACCAATAAAAAGTTGAAAAAATTACTTCGACTACCTTCACCTAAGATTTGCATGATTTTACATATGAATGTTATATATACTTTTTAAAGCTAAATTAGGCATCACTACATATTGCATTACTTTTTTGCTTTAGTAAACCATACTAATTTTTATTTAAATTTTAATTGTCTATGGCTGGGATACAGAAATAGAACTGACTTTTCCCATAAGTATTATGTTAGTTATCAGCTCATGTAGTTTTCCATATTTTTACAGAATTACATCTTTTCTGTAAATAGACGTTGTTTTGATTTTTCTTGTGAGCAACCCATAAAATATTGAATAAGAGTGACAAAAGCATACATCATTGCCTTGTTCTCAATCTGAAGATGAAAAATATTTACTTTCATTTTTAATTAGTTTTTTTAAATCAGCATATAAAGTAGTTGGTTTTAGTATGACATTTTTATACATATTTTCTTCACTCTCTCTTCCTCATCTATGTGTCCACCTCATGGTGCTGTTTTCCTTATTACTCCATTATCCCCTTTCTGCATTCATGTCACATGTATTCTCTTACTTTCTTTCCCTGCAACTCTCCTTTAAGACTTTTCCCCACTCTTTCATGGTTGTTTTTTCTAGTTTCATGACCTATATTCATCTTTGCAAACTATACTTCAGACAAGAAATGATATTTAGAATATATAAATTAATTGTAAACATTAATCACCTCCAAACTCAAATAGTCCAGCCAATAAGTGACAGTTTTCAAAAGAAGAAATACAAATGGCTAATAAACATTTTTTAAAAAGTCTTCACCACCCTCAGCCATAGGGAAATGCAAATTAAATTTATTTTGAGATTTCATCTCACCCTAGCCAAAATGGCTAGCACTCAGTCTTTTACAATTAAAGATTATGTTAACTTTAGATTGTTGCAGGATGTTTGATCATACTGTGAACCCTGAGCTTGTTTTGTTTACTAGAAAAACCTGTTTCTAGGTGTGGTGTGGCTCAGCCTTAGCACATACCTTTAATCCAAGTATTTTATGCCTGAGTATTGTAAACAAGAGTAAATAAAGTTAAGCCTAGGTCAAGAGGCAAAACAAACAAGCAGCTGACAGGGAGTGAACATAGAGAAAAAACATAGAGAGTAAGAGGAAGTCAGGAGCACGGATAGAGAGATGCACAGGAAGTAGAAGAGAAAAACATTCAGCTTGAGTTTTTGTTGTTGTTTTTTTTTTTTGTTTGTTTGTTTGTTTTTTTTTTTTTTTTTTTGAGATGGCCTGGGGAAGACCTCTTTTTTGGGGAAGTCAGCTGAGGAGGAAGGTGAACTGGGTGCTTTCTCTGCCTCTCTGAGCAAACTAGTAGTCTTTCATCTCAGCATTTGGCTCCTGAGTCTTTATTGGTAAAATCGAACATTTGGGATTTTGTTAAAAAACAACATTAAATATTTTGTAGATTACAATTACCAGCATTAAAATGTTCTTCTCTATCCCTGGTTTGCTGGTCATTTATACCATGTTGAATTTTATTAATTTTTTTCAAATTTTTTCAACTTTTTTTTTTTTTCTTGTGTCAGGGTTTCTTTGTGTAGCCCTGGCTACCCTGCAACTTGCTCTGTAGATCAAGGTGGTCTCAAACTCACATAGATTAGTCAAATGTATTTGTTGAGATGCTTATTTTTATAAGCCTGTCAATCACAGAACTTAATTTCAAAATGTTCGGTTCACATTCAAATTATGGTATAAACCCCATGAGGCTATAGAAATTTACTTTTTTATTATCTGTCTATCTACCTACCTATTTATCTGAGTCAGAGTTTCTGTATGTACCCATTGGCTGCCTGAAATTCAGTAGGTAGACTAAACTGGCCTTGAACTCATAGAGCTCCACCTGCTTCTGCCTCCTGAGTGTTGGGTTTAAAGGTATGCATCACCACCGCCCAGCCTTACCTTTTTAATTTTAATTTTACATTTTGCTGCTACAGACTACTAACATTTTATTTTGGATTATCATGTCAGTGTTCATAATTTGTATTGGTTTATAATTTTATTTTCTTAAAATGTTATGTATTGGGTTTGATGAAGTTTGTATACAGTTGGGATTATTTCTTTCATACATGTTTGGTAGTTTTTAAACAATTTGAATTCAATCTTGTCAATAAATATAGACTATTGATGTCTATTTTTTCCTGATTGAAGTTTGCAAGTTATTACTTTGCAAGTAAATTCCCTATTTTCTCTAAATATCATTTTCTGTATAATATTTTATATACTATCTTCTTATTAATTTAATAGCTGAAGAATATATACTTTTGGGATTACTTACATTGCTTATTTTTTATAACACACACACACACACACACATGCAAACACAAACAAACACACACACACACACCAGTTCTTTTTTTTTCTTTAAATCTGGTTCTGTTAAATTAACTGATGTTTTAAAAAGAACTTACTTTTGATTTTATTGTTTTATTCTATCAATTTTTGTTATTCTGTTTAGATGGTGTTTGGAAAAATGCTTATTATTATTATTTTTTGTTCTTTTGCTTGGGTTTATTTTGATTTTTTCTAGATTTAAAATTTTGTTTTCTCTATTGGTTTTCTTGTAGAGTTCCTGTTGCCTCCAGGTCCTTCTATCCAACATCCCTTGGGAACAACCTAAGAAGAGTTTGACTAATTCAGGTTGGTTCAGATATAGATAGCTGAGTCCATAGTCCTTGGCTCTGTTATGTGTTGAGGCAGAATGTCACCGTGGTGATTGCAAGAGGCAGCTGCTACTCATATCATGGTGGACTGGAGGCAGAGATGAGGTGAAATTTCCAAAGGCAAACTCATTGCAATGTGTTCTTCCTCCAGCTACATACCATCTCCTTAAGTGTCCAGAACCTCCAAAAATAGGACCGCTAGCTAGGGATAAAAAAACTTAGCACATTAATCTTTTGTAGATATGGGTCACATTTAACTATAGCACCATGGTAAGTTAGGTATTCACTCAAAATCTTAATACCTATTAGCCTAGTGCCTAGGCTCTCCCAGATCAGTTATCTACAGATTGGCATTACAAAACTGCAACAGAAAACCATAGTCTGAGGATAATATTAGAAAGCTTTATTTCTGGAATGAAACTTGCATTCGGAAACCTGCTAACTCTGACAAGATCTGGGCAGTCACTCAAGAAAAGAAAGAATATATTGCCTAATTTCTCAACAGGCTAACTGAAACTTTAAGAAATCCACTAACTGAATAACTCATTGATGAAGTAGAATATCTTTTAGTTTAGCATTATGTTATACAGCCAGCCCCTGACATCTGTAGGAAACCTCAGACACAATAGATAGGATGTCAGACCCCCTCAGACTCAGCTTTTGGGCACTACTTTCTTAGTGTTTAACAACAGAGATCTGGAGGAAGACTAGTGCTTGTCCTTGAAGGTGATATTGTCCAGACCTGCCTACCAATAACTCCCTATAATAAGGAGGAGAATGAGGGAGCAGGATACAGCTGGGATACAGAGTTAATAAAATGTAACTGATAAGAAAAAAATAAAATTAAAAAAAATATATATAAAAAAGCAAAAAAAAAATAAGTAGGAGAGACCAAAAGGTCAATGTCAGTCTGGTTTCAAGTGTAAACACCCAGGCCATTGGATACACGAATGCACTCAAACTCCCTTACTACAAATTACAGTATGCATGGACCCAAGGGCCTAGTATTTAAGGGTGGATTGTCCCAGTTCTCATAGTAGAAAAAGATAAGTCCTTGACCTCAAGCCCACCTTATAGGACAGAATATCCTTGGGGAACAGGTTGGCTCCTCATCCTGAAATTTCAATTTCTGCTGAAGAATCATGGATTATCCTAGATGTGGCAGGTAAGAAAATTAATCTACTTACACAATCCTTACCTCTCTTACACAATCCTTACACTTACAGAATCCTTATGTCTCTTTCTGGAGCTCTTTCCTCCTAGTATAGATACAGTGAGGGAAGAAAAAACATTCTAAATACAATACTATATTTCTCCAATCATCTGTCAATTTAAAAACCAGGTTTTTAAATTTTTTAATATCTATCTATCTATCTATCTGTTTTTTTTTTTTTAGACAGGGTTTCTCTGTGTAGCTTTAGCTGTCCTAGACTTGCTTTTTTGACCAGGGTGGCCTCAAATTCACAGCAATCTGCCTGCCTCTATCTCCTTCTGCCTTCCTGAGTGCTGGGATTATAAGCATGCACCACCACACCTGGCTTTTTAACTAACCAACTAACTAACTAACTAACTAACTAACTAACTAACTAACTAACTAAC